CCCACTGTCTGTTGGTCTGTAACGCTCCTCAGTTCTCCATCAAAGCAGCACTCTTCACTTTCAGCTCAGAGTTTGGAGAAATCTATCGAGCTGTAACAGAAACTCAAACCTTTGTCACCTGTTCCAAAGCAGTAAAAGCTCTCGCGTTCATCTCCGGACCAAAGCCGGTGTTCAGGGAACCTGTAATTTGGCAGATGAGGAGGAAATGCAGGTGCATCCTTCTACCGACAGCGTAGGAAAGTAGGACCTGATGGAAGGGGGAAGCCAACTCTATCAGCCACAAGCACCAAAATCCCAACAGGCTTCTCTCAGTCTCAGGTGCACCAGAAAGCAGCTGGTGCCCAGGAAGTCTGTCCAAGCTGCCCCCCCCAGCAGCGGCCCTTACACTCGGCCCAGCCACCCACGATCTGGGGCCCAGGATCTGCTCCCTGACAGGGAGGGTGAAGGATGTTAGTTGTCATGTTCTCACATCTCCTGGGCTCTGCCGCAGTTGGCAGCCACATGCGGATTTTGGAGCTGACAGCAATGACCACCTCTGTCCTGGGCCACCTCCAGGACCCATCCGGATTTATTCGCTACGCACTGCCTCCAAAGGTCTGGTGAGCCTCAACACAAACACGCCGGGGTCTCGATGGCTGGCTGCCAGCACACCCATCCTCAAACACCAGCCGTTCCAACAGCCCTTCCCTGCTGCGCGTGGTGCCTCCACGTCCACGCGCCTCCACTCACATCCCCTTAGCCCTTCCAGCGCAATTCTCTGCGGGCACACCAAGGAAGCCACGCACAGCTACAGCAGTGGCCAGAGCGGAAGGGGAGCACTCCTGTGCTGCTGCCAGGAAGAAGGAGCTCCTGTCCCGCCCGGAGCAGCCACAGGATCAGTCTCATTCCACGGCCAGGCTAAGGCTGGGGGGCACACGTGCAGTTCGAGGGTGGGAAGGTGGCCTGGAGGGGATCCTTAAGGCTTCTGGCTGGCTGAGAGCCAGGTCGTCCCTCCTTTGTTAGCGGTGGGGGCAGCTCTTCTGTTAGTGGGTTGAGGGGTCAGGGGTTCCCTGCTCTGGGGCTGTCAGAGAGGATTTCTCACTGCCCTGGGACCTGGCACATGGTGAGCTCCTGTATCCTAGGTGCTATTCTCTATCATTTTAATTACTCTGTAGTAGTGTTGTTAGTATTAGTATCACTGTCGTCGTCACTTATATTACCCATTGGTTCTTATCTCACTTCATGAGCTTTCCTTGTCTTTTCCTCCGAGCCTTCTCTACTGCGGGCGGGGGAAGGGAGGTGAGCGAGCGACTGAGCAGTACTGAACTGCCAGAGGAGGTTAAAACATGATTTCTTTCCCGCAAGCAGTGTGTACGTAAGCCATCTGAAAACAGGCATGAAGATACAGCTCAAGGCTTTGCATGGCCCCATGTTGCCACCAGCACAGGTGCTTTGGGAAGACCATGCTGCTCATTTTATCAGCAGAGGAGCCTCGTGCTCCAGCAGATTGCTGCCCCTCCGGAGGGACATCAAGTGTGCTCAGCTCAGCTCCAGCCGCAGACTTGGCACACACTCCCAGTGCATCAGGAAACCTGCAGTCCCGGCTCTTCGTCCAGTTCACCTGAGCAAGGGCATCAGGCGGCCGGGAAAAGTCCCGCACAAAAGCTTCTCTCAAACAACTCGTTCCACCAACTCGGGATAGACGAAGGAATCGCGCAAGGAGACGGACGGCGAGCAGTAACGACACCAAAGTGAAATAAATTATCCCCTCAGGAATGTTCTCTTCTGGAGAAGTGGAAATGCCTGTTCCAGTGCAGTCTGTGCAGGAAAAGACACAGCCTCCCAGCTGCAGGAGAGGAAGCACTGCCCATGGCTAAAGGGTCCCTGAAGGTTCTCAGTACCCAGAGATTTTCAGTTCAGATACCAACAGGTGAGGATGAGCGAGTAACACAGGCCGCTTCCCCCAGCCGCTGATGCGCCCTCCCTGGCAACATGCAGCTGAACCCAAACCCCACCAGATTCTGGCACTGAAATCCCCCTCCAGAAGTACATACGGGGCTCCCCTGCGTTCCAGGGCCAACCGTTACCGCAGCTGCTCCTGGTGACAGGGATCCCATCACACCGGCTGTGTTTGCTACAAAATGTGCCCTGAAGAGCCTCCAGGCGAGTACCAAGCCCAGGGTTGTGAGGAACTGAACTGTGTTCTGGGGGCAAAGCCAACTGCCCTCATCACCTACCAGGAGAAACTGCACAGGCTGAAATGCTTGGGAAGCACAGCAGCACTGGAGTTGTCGCAGCTCAAAACAACGCTGCTTTCTTGCCAATAAGGGTTACGAGGAGCACTCCATGGGACCGACAGTCACTTGGGTTATTTCGGGCTGCTCTCGCCTCGCCTCGCACACACTTTTCCATCAGGAACCACCGTGCAAACAGCCAACCCTGGTCCCTGGCCCAGCTCTGCGCAGACAGCTGCTCTCTGCTGCTGGTCTACCCCTCAGTACTCCTGCCAGTGAGTCATAAACAAAGCATTCATAGCGAGGGGAAGAGGGTGGTATTCCACCACTGCTCTCCCCCCACCTCTCTCCACCCACGTCTTGGGAAAAAGAGAGCTCCGAATGTGCATTCCCAGACACTTCCAACGCAGACAGCCCCTCCCTGCCAGCGGCATGAGGTCATCGACGGCAGCACAGGACTGTGGAGCAGTGTCTCCTCAAGTCCAGGCAGGAGCCGACAGATGCCCAGATGGAGAGGTGAATCGCTAAACAGCGGCAACTTCGACTTAGAGCTGTCAGAAGCGTAACATTACCTATGAACACTGTTACAACTACCACGGACTTGCATTGTACCTGACAGACGCAGAGAACAAAAAAATCCACCACCCCACATATAAAAAAAACCCAACAACCCACCCAAACCCAGTACCTGACCCCATTTACAAGTGAGAATAAAATGGAAATACAATAAAGAAATGAAGTCTTGATTAGCCTGGAATAAAGGGAAATCCTGTCTGTGCCCACAAAAGTTCTGCTGTGTCCGTTAGTGACCATCCAGGCCACTCCCCTGGTCTCGAGGGTCAATTTTGGTGGCAATTACAGGTCATCTTCAGCCAAATGCCAGTTCCTGTAATTCTGCAGCTTGGATTATACATGAAGGTATCAGGATTGCTGACACACAAACACAGCAATTTATCAATGAGCAGATTTCTCTTGACTGCAACAGTGAAAATCCAATAAGGTGCAGTATTACAAGTGCTTTAAAGAAAGAAGAGCCTCATTCTAAAGTTAGAAAATAAATACAGGAGATTTCCAAGGGGTTAAACATCTGAAATAAAACACATGCAACCAGATGGATGCCACCCAGAACACGCCTATCTAACCTCAAAGGGCTGGTCAGCACCAGGGACACCTTGAGGTTCTACCCCACAGGCCACTGACGGGATTACTGCAGATGTTCTCTGAACAGAGCCAGTTCCACCTCCAGACCCCCCCCAGCACGCAGTACTGACCAGCCGGTATTAGAGGGGGGGCTGGTGTGATCCAAGGGGTTAAATACCGACCTGCGTAAGGCAAAATGACTGTCACAGATGGCACTTCAGAGTACGTCTCGTGCCTGGTTGTGCGCAGTTCAAGAGCCAGTATCATCCCCTTTTTCCACTATGTCCCAGTTGCTCTACTTCCAGAAAAGTCAGATACCGAAAATCTCAGAGCAAGGACACTCATTTCAAACCTGATGATCTGTCACAGTTGTGGTTTAGTTGTTCTGTTAGACAAAGGCCTTTCCAGCAATGCCACCAACCTCTTCCCGCTGGGCTACGGGTAAGGAGAAAATCCAAGGGGCAATTTACAAAAAAGGCTGCTCAGTGAGGAAGAAAATATCCTGGGAGACTGTGAACTTGAGCCTTTCTGTTCCCACTTGTGTATCTCAATTATTAAACTAAGGAGTCTGCTCCCCTCCTGGTCAGTTAATCTTTAACTCACTCGAAGCGTGGCTTCAGCTACAGGAGTCAGGAATTCCCACCCAAACCTGCACCAACAACTTGTGGCCGCTAAGCCAGTGCGAGCCAAGGGCAGGAAAAGGGGCATCTGAGGCTCTCCAAGCAGCCTTTCCACTTAACAGGCGAGTGCTGACACTACGGTGGGTACGAGGAAGGCTCCAGCACCCCTGCCTGCCTTCTGGGCGGCGCTGCTGCTTCGTTCCCCCTGAACACAGCGCCTGCTAGTTTCCAGCACCTGAAACATCTGGCGGCTCATCCCGAGACAAAACACTGAAAACACCTGCTTTCTGACAAGGTGCAGCCAACCGAAAGGCTCACTGCCGAGCCTCCCCAGAGCCAGGGCAATACCTGGGAGACAAACGGCCAAGAAACCTTAGTCTAACTTGATCTGAAGAGTAAGTCCCCATAACTAAGCAGGAGCATAATGAAAATATTAAAGCTGTTGCCGTGGTAGGTGTTTTTCCATGAATACCAGCATGTCTACCAGGATACCCAAAACAGTCCCTGTGCTCTTGTAAGTCTGCGTGTTAACGCTCCTGGCAGAAAACTCCACTGATTTGGCAGTTCCCTTCCAGAAGGACAGGGAGTGGGCGAAGTCAGAGCAATTCAGGAAGAAGCACTACGGATCTATGAAACAGGGCCCAGGGAGAAACATGCAAGAACTGGGTTTCAGCCCAAGAGAGAAAGGCAAGGGGACACCCTGCTCCAGCTGACGTCAGTAACAGGCCGCAGTCAGGAGGAAGGAAATCACATGGACATGGCTCTTCATGTCTGTTGATAGTAGCGAGGTGATGCTGCGCCAAGACACAGCCCAGTGAGGTGTCAGGGAGAACCAACCCACCCAGGGCTGGGAACGCTGGAGCCCTAGAGCTACCCGTGAAATAAGCACATCAGGGGTCGGTTGCTTCCTGGGGTGGCTGTTTGAGGTTTTTTGTTTAAAATTAATCGGTACAGCCACGTAAGCTGCCCTTACCAAGTATCACAACTTCTTTTCAAGTACCCACAGTTTCTAAACCCTTGGTCTTACCTCTTTGCTTCCTCCAGATGACAAAGGTATTCGTAGGCCACATTCTGGCGGCGTCTTTCATCCATCTCCTCCGCTGTTAACCTCTCGTTATCCAGGACGGCTGCAAAGAGTCACAGCACATTCTCAGGTGAAGACCGAACGTAACCAAACAGGCACACAGAGATCAGATCCAGCCTTTCCTGCAGAAACTCATCACAGGCTTTCTGTGACTCAGGACAACAAAGGCCCCACATGCAGCAGAGGAGGCCCTGTTCCTTACCCTTGTCCCATAAACTTGCCACCTCCCCTCTTTCGGATTTCTCAATCTGACTGTTATCCAACTATTTCCATATTCACATTTCTTAGAAAAAGTCTTTCCTTTTCTTATTTTCTTCCAGCTTTGCTATTCTCTTCCTCAAAAGCACAGTGACCACCTCTCCCCATCTATCCTCCGATTCTGGAAGTCAAAGATGATGGAAGGACAACACACCCTACAACCCCTCCTGTCCATTTACAGCTCTAGAAAAGGTGGAAAGGCTACTCCCAGTCCTCCTCGGGGGAGGTATCATTCAGACCTACAACCAGCACTCCACCTTCAGACAGAGCAGAGGCCGACGCAGGGCTACATCTTCCCGGCTCTGTGTCTCTGCAGCCTCGGGGACACGGGCCGCTCTTGCCCCCCTTGCAGCTCAACTCCTCATCCATGCTCTCGCATGGGGAAAACCACCCACTTATTAGGTTTTATGGACCAACCTGACCATTAGGAAATGTCTCCCACCCTTATCAGCCTCACACCTACAGTGCCTTCAGCAAACCACGAGCGATGAGGCAGCACCTGGGGTCACACAGGACCTTGGGGCGAACTGCAAAGGGTCTCTCTGAAAGCAGTCTGGAGTGACACAACCGCATCTTTCTGACTACCCCAGTCCCACTCGAAGTTACAAGAATCACAGGATGGTTTGGATGGGAAGGGACCCCAAAGCCCCCCCAGCCCCACGCCCTGCCATGGGCAGGGACACCTTCCACCAGACCAGGTTGCTCCAAGCCTCATCCAGCCTGGCCTTGGACACTCCCAG